ATCTCTCACGTTCTTTCCTTTCCTCCATCCTCTTTTCCCATTCTCTCTTTCTACGTTCTTCTCTCTCTTTCCATTCTCTCTCCCTCTGCTCCCGTTCCTGAAAGAGAGAGAGAAAAAAATTAATAAATAAGAAAAAAATTATAAAGCGGAATATTACGGAGTGCTATAGGAGCTGATCGTTCAAGGTGAATCACACTCACATGAAAATAAATACTGTTATCTTAAGCTTTTCATAAAAATTTGAAGAATATATACCTTCTCTCTCATTTGCCTCTCCTTCTCTCTTCTTTCACGGCTTCTCTCTCGACTGCGGTCCAGACGTTCCCGCTCTTCAGCTCTTGACCGGGACCTCTCATGAGATGAAGCAGACTTTTCCCGGTCCTTTGTGGAGACAGCATCTCTGCGTGAGCCTGACTCTTCTCTCCTCTCCTTGTCTCTTCGTTCCTTCTCCCTGCGAGACTTCTTTTCCTTCTCTTCCACTTCACCTCTGGACCTAATGGTAAAATTCGGAAAGAAAGGAAAACTCATTTTAAGTGACAACAGACACCTACTCATCAAGAACACATGAGTAAAGAAAAGAAAAATGAGTGAAAATAAAAGCCGCATAAGCAGATCCCAACAGCATATCTGAAACAGAATTAAAGCATTAAAAAAGCTTCTGAATTAAATGAGAAAAAATTCAGCATCTTTCTGTGCCTCACTTCAATGATTACATATATCTTATGAACATACATATAAAATATGCATCTATTTCTATATGTATATGTATATATACACATTAATAACATAAAATTTATTACTTCAAGTAAAAAACAAATACGGAGAGAACATTACAACTTGAAGTGTGTCACAAATTAAGGATGCTTCCTCTTGTTAGAGAGGCATATAACAACACTCTAAAAGCTCAAAAAATAACCAAGAAGAACCAATTTTCAATTGGTATTCAAAGCAACCTAACATATATATTGTTGTAAGCTTCAGACTGCAAAATCTTTAAGCTAAGAAGATACTTTAAACTTATATAATACTTAATTCAAATATAACATGATAGAACTAATTCTCAATGTTACATTACTGACTATCTGCATATGCTATCATATAAATTGAAAAATGAAGAATGTGACAGATCTGTACCATTTTACAAGCCACCACTGTGTTCATGAAAAATATATATAGGTATTTCCAAAATGTTAATATTCAAGAATGTGGTATGTATTTTCCTTCCTTCTCCAAGCAGAATAAGGACTACTATGATTTTTTAAGACAACGAGATCTTAACCAGATCCCAAGAACATCTAAACCCAAAACCACTTCTAAAAATAATAACAATAACAATAATAATAATAATAATGATAACAGTAGAGACCAATACAGGAAAAAATACAATCTTTGCAAACTTTATTGTTACTAAGATATAACCAATAAAATACCATTTTCAACTTAGCTGTAGAAATGCATAAAAAAAGAAAAATATGCTGTGTAATGCAAGCCTATAATAAATGTATGGAATCACAATTCACAATGAATACACACAGTTTTCTTTAGCACTTCAGAACCCTACAAAGAGCCTGACAGGTAAGTATTCCATAGGGTTAAACCTAAGCAATTACAACACATACAACTGTCGCACACAAAACAACAAAAAAATAATCTCGTCTGACCAAAATGTAAGAAACTGGATAAATAAATCAATAAAAAAAAGGAAAAGAAATAGGCAAGACCGATCCCTAGAGCTGAACATGGAAATAGACCTTTTCTGAAACTGGCAACATATGAACTTAAATCTGTATCAAGAAATTTTCAGTTCACAATCACAATGGCAAAAACAGCAACACTAAATTTCATCTTGAACTGCTCATTTTGTTGTTGTTGTAAGAACTCTTTACCTTATGAATCATACGAGTTATTAACTTCAAACATTTTCATACATAAAGAAAAAAGAAAAAACATAAAATCTATTCCATCTTTTATTAATCATTATCAGGAAATTGTTTTCTATGATTAATCATCTTGCTTCCAACAAAGCAAAAATGTTAAACTAGGACAGAACAAAAAACTAAGCAACTCTGTATGAGAGAGCATTACGAGGAACTATCAAAGTCTTTTAGTTTCACATCAATGCGACAAAAAAACAGTACAGGTAAGAATATAGGAAAGTGAATAAAAAAAAAGAATACAAGACAGAAACAAGGACAGAGCAGGTGAGTAAAAGAGAAAGAATAGGAAGATATGAGAGAGGAATAAGTAACAGCAAAACCATCATTTCAAAATATCTGTAAAACAACCAATTCTTCATAGAGAAGAAAAGTCATATAAAGTCCAGTTAATATCTCCATTATTTTCAAAAATATGATCTTCAAATAAAACAATTGGGGGGGTTGGCAAAGAGGAAGCTTTCAAACGAATTCCATATCCAACTTATAAACAACTGAACACTAAGGCTATCAAATATACTCTAAAAATAAAAGTGCATTTGAATATGGAAATATTATTAGTGTAAATATTCATATAATCATATCGCCTTTCACAAAAGATTGACAAATGCTTGCATAAAAGTTAAATAAAAAATCATACCCAGATTTGTTCTAAAAACATATACAATTAGCACAATTACGATGGCAAAACTGAACATTCTTTTTCTTAACTTGGCTGTTATTTTAATGGAACAGAATTTGCTCTTTGTTGCAAATCCATGTGGCTTAATTGTTCAAATCTATATGATAAAAGGACAATCTAATGATTTCCTAAAACAAGTATAATTGTAACATCAAACGTTCTCATTTCAACTTGAATTTGACTTACAATAATAAAGGCACTATCTACTGTTTTAGCCTCTTTAAAATCTGGCCCTGTAAACTAACACAACTAATACACTTCTCAGCGAACAAGTTTTACGTATACATTTCTCAAGAGTTCCTGAATATCAAGGAACAAGCAGGAGTTGAAGTTCAATGCATACATTTTACATAAGTACCCAAATATAAGGAAGCAGCAGCAGTTGTGTTCCAGTATACATGGGCGAACCCATAAGAACTCAGATGCTTGAAATATCCAATGCTCACTCTTCAAGACTAAAATAAATAATGACCGAATTGATAGTATGGGAAAGCTGTACCCATAAGAAAGGGTTCCCTTCTGGTTATATCCCATAAGTATGTAGGGAACTGTTAAGACTTGTCTTTTCAAGCACGTTGTTGGATGATATACCATAGGTTAAATGTGCAAAGGTCATGGCATTTCATGGGGAGCTAAATCTAAGGTGGAAAAGTCCCCATTTATGTGTACTGTAATGAAACATGTTTCATAAAATCTTATGAATCTGTGAACATGGTTCCATGAACATCAGATAATATACATTTAAGACCCTACTTCTGATCTATATTATATCCCATTTTAGCCAGATGGCATGCTATTGTGTCATAGCAATACTGTCACTCACCCTGGTTGATGTCCTATCACACTATGTGCAGTCGAACTGACTTTAAGTCATGTGTGCTAAAAAGTTGTTTGGTTGTTTGGCCATAATTTAAATCCTCTTTTTAGTGTTATTTCCTTAACAATCATTTATGCCTCAACCAAGAGAACTGAGCGCAAGATAGATGTACTATTCCTCTGCTTCTCATTTTTCACTTGCTTGGCCTGATGTGTGGCTTTGTAGGATGCCAGGAAGTCTTGTCATGAATGGATTAAATCTAATACTATCTGAGGAAGACATGAATGCATTCCCATGAAAGAATCAAAAACGTCAAGCCCTAGTAACACTACCTCTAAAACTTCAAAACAACTATCAACTGCAACAGAAGTCAAAATTCTTTGTCAAACTCCATATCAATTATTTATGAAGTTATTTTCAAATTTCTGCAAGGATATCTAAAAGAGATGTACTGCATGCTTGCACACAAACATGGGCACAAACATAATTTCAATAAATTACACAATTTCTGATTTTGTGAAAACAGTATTTGTTTACGTTACAGAGGATACATTTTAATGACTATACATTAGCCTCTAGATCATGATGTGCTGCCCTGGTGATAATGTATTAACAACTCTTTCACCTGCTCAACCCATTGCCTTCAGGAGAAATTGGGGCTCACTTGGCCTCCATTCTGAGGGACATGTGCAGCCGACTGGGCTTGCTTCCAAGGCATTTCTCAGATGCGGCCAGTGAGAAGCACTTGATGCACTGCACTATCAATGTGATTTTTTTTTTTATATCATTTGTATGCAAAACATGGTATTAATATTTTTTGTAAATTTAGAGGTGCATAACATGCATTTCAGTTGCTATACTAATAGTAACCTGATTATGAACATTAACCCTATGATCCAGATGATGTTACAGTCCCATCATGGAAAAATCTGGGTCGAAGGCCAGGTGATGTGAACATACCGTCATCAGGCAAAATTGCCTCGGGAGTGTGATTCGACTCATTTGACGCATAGATGGGGCCTTCAGCATTATTCCCAATATAACCCTATGATCCAGATGATATTATGGTCCCATCATGGAAAAATCTGGGTCGAGGGCCAGCTGATGTGAACATGCCATCACTGAGCAAAATGGCTGTGGGCATGGTCATAAGCAAAGGCCAGGGTGACGGAAAAGACTCACTACGTGTACACAAACCACTTGGAGTGTGACAAATGTGGAATGTAATATTCCTAGCCACTGTGACCAGCAGAATAAGTTGTATTACAGAAAATTGAAAATTACAAAAAAAAAAAAAAAAAAGAGAGATTTATGACAAATAACCAACTGTTCCATACTTTTTTTTTCACTGTTATTTACTGCATAGAGAGATGAAATGAAGTCTGTGCTAAAAAAATAGACTTTTACCTTCTGGATAAAGCAAATCAAAATACAAATATAGACATTGGAAAATGGTAAAAAGGCTAAAAAAAAGTTTACATAAAATAACTTGCAAAGAGGAGGCATGGAGTCTTGTCAAAACTCATGGGTACTGTTCACATGTGCCAGGATTACAAGCTGCGCACCCATCAGAGTAGATCATCAAGTAAGCCTAATGCCTGTACTTTGGGCCATGTAATGGCAGTGATGCATCCAGATCCATTGTAACGCACACATCATTGTAATGAGTTGTGAATGCTCTAAAGCCTGTAGCTAAGCCTAAGCCGGCCATGATGTCAACCCCACATCATCCGGAGGTTGAGTTAATAGTGGCAACAAACCACAGATGCTGTCTTGACCCTGGATCCCCCACCTCCAAACTTACAGCAGGCACATTAGCCTGCAGGTGCTGAAGCCCCAATTATAATCTTCAAATTCTGAGGCCTCCCATACCTTATTAAGTACAAAAAGTCTCTTTCCTCTAGCTACAAATCACAGGAAATCTATTTTACTAAATTGCATTCATAAGATCAGTAAAAATATCATATGTTTGCCTTCTGGATTGTGTAAATAGAAAGCCTACACATTTATCACACATGAAATTCAAATAGGGTGACAAAACCAATTTGAAAATATGAAGAATCTCTGCCTACAACTGACAACTTGGTTTTAAAACTTATAGTTCTCTGAACTGTTTGCTTTTATGAAAATATTCATACGACTGTTCACCATTGTGTGCATTATAAGTAATGCTAGTCTAGATATGTTACAAGAACCTATTGCAAAAGGCTTGCCACTACTCTTGCATTACCCAGAACTTAAAGGTTATTAATGAGTTGGGATATGATCACACCAAACCTTGCTAAAAATTATCAGCCCACAGATAATGGATACAAGCACTATCCACTGTGGTTCTGCTTTGCTAGCTTTATTTACAACAAAGATGGTTCCACAAGCACCTAGTCACAAAGGAGTTTAAGGAGGCTTATCCAATCCCAACTGTTTACACTATTCCTTGACATTATTCTCAGTATCATTATCATTATCATAATATCATCAATGGTAAGAATAGCAATAAAAGAAAACTCTTTCATCCAAAATACTCACTTTGGTATATCTAATGATTTGTCTTCAGAGTGACTAGACCCTTATTAAGCCATATATATATATATATATATATATATATATATATATATATATATATATATATGTAAATAATATCAATATATCAAAACTATTGTGGACAATGGTAATTTCTGATTTATTTCATGATTTTTTATCTATAACACACATATCTATCAGTATCAAACAATACTTCACCCAATAAGAAAATATATTTTTGGCTTGCTTGGACCTACTTCCATAACTATCACATTAGGCCTTCAATGATGAATGAAGACAATCACTGGTATGGGAGGTAAATTATACATTTCACCAGAAAAAAAAAAACTGAGATGGAATAAGGCTGGACAGAGGTGGTCAGGTAAAACTAGGAAGTAAATTGGGTAGTGTATACTGGATTGGATTTGGCTGGGTTTCAATAAGTTAGGCTTAGTTAAATTGAAATATGAGGCTAGGCTATGTCTCCACCTAGCCTAGTATAGGTTCAAATATTGTAACTAGTCTTACTAATTAATAATAATAATATATATACACATGTCATAAATGGGTCCCTGTCTTTGAAACTTCTGGTCACTGGCATTTGCTTACACAGACACAGGCAACCCCCTCTTACACACCCAAACACACAGTGAAATCATATATCACAACCTCTTAAATAATCTACTCACTACTGCTCTCTAACCGTACTACTACCAAATCAGTGTTTCTAGTTGAAAAGGTATGGCCAGTGAAGATTAAAGGAATGGACAATTTATTCACAGACAACAAGCACTGTAATCTTTAGTTCTGAAAAGAAGTTTCCAGACAACCTGTGCAGCAATCATGATCAAACCAGCCAGTCACCAAAAAAGACTAATAAAAAATGGAAATATACTAAAATCATTGACCTAGTGAGGACAGGCTATCAATGTGATGATGTGCATCCACCTACTCCATTTAATAACACATTAATTATGATACTAACATTGAACTAAGAAATAGCTTCTTTATATCTACCTTGCTGAGGCGGAGACCAATTATAAGAAATGATTTGTCTTGGATTACTGTATCTAATAACTACCAGTCTACATGCAAAATGTTGAATGACTCCTAAGTCAACAAACCTGAAAACTTTTACCAACCAAAGATAAAAAGCCTCAACATTGGCATTTCTTTCAAACCAGCCAACCAATGCCTTAAAAAAATAAACCTTGTAACATTTAGCATCCCATTCCTGCATATTATATTTCTGAACAAAAGATAATTCTACAAGTAATTTTCTCCTGTCTATCTCCAGGATACATATAATGTGTATATAACTAAAAGAAAAAAGAAAAAAAAGTTTATATACATGCATATACATGTGAGTGTCATGAGTAAGTTATTCTATGTACATTTACATGTAATGTCTTTTTGCCTGTCTCTATGTAAATGTTGAATGCCTTCTTCACTGTAAAGTTCTTATATATATATATATGTATGTATACATGTATGAATAGGTGTATATACAAACAACTGAATAAAATCAAATTTCTGATGTCCTGATGTTAGTGTACAAGTTTGTAAAAGTACATACTATCAGCCTTCTTTTATCTCCCATTATTTAGGCTGTGTTGATAATGGTGGAGAATGAGGACCCTACAGGCCATTACCCTTGCCTGGGTACTTACGCCTCTGTAGACAGGGCTGAGCTGGTGATGGATCAGCTCCATACTAATCCTGTAAACAGTGAAGCGCGCAGCCAGTAATTAATGGTATTTCTCAAGTATTTCTTTTTCTTTATGTAAGAGGTACTATGATTCATTATTATTTTGGGTAAAAAAGGGAAATTGATATACTGGAACTGAGTTAAACCTCCACATATGGTGAACAACTATCTTTAGTAGCTGAATGAATGATTAAAAATAAATAATAATAATGGTGATGATAATAACATCAATACCAATAATAATAATAAATAAAGCATAACAATAAATAACTGAAATAAAGATCCCTTCAAAATCTGTCATGTAATAGATACATATTTCAAAAAGTAGTTTAGCCTGATTTTCATCCTGACCAAAAAAATTATGGTACACATTCATAATAAACATTTCATACAAGCAGAAGGAAACTTTGATTAGAGTACATCAGACCAATGAGCAAGTTCCACTTTTTTTCATTTTTAAATTCAGTCAAGAAATGTTAAAGTTTAGTGATCATGGCAGATAATTCACCAGGTTTGCCTACATGTTTCATTCTGGATTTGAGGATGGGATGAATCGTCGTCCAATAAGTATGATTATATGACCAAAAAATTTCTAGTAGTTAAACAGGAAAGTACTTAGTGTTCAAAGTACATATTTCACAGAACATTGTCAGTACCTGGTAATACTTTACGGCAACCAGCCGGGGGCTCAGCCAGGAGCTCTTAACCACAGCAGAGAGTCAACCCAGGGACCAACCGCAGCTCCAAAACACTCAGGGAAGATAGGCCCGCTAGAACTCTCAAATATATGTCATTTACTGAACCTTAAAACAGTCTTCTGACAACATATTCATATACCACAAAACAGCGATAAAGGTTAGAAGAAAATAAGAGATAAATTCTGAACCATTTACACAACCACAGTCAATGCCCTTTCCAATCATTTCATACTTCCCCTTACAACTTTGAAAAGATTTCAAGGTAAACACTACAGCACCTGAAAACGTGCAATAGGCCATTCACAATTATGTATTATATACAGCTTTACTAAAACCTATATTACAATAACAGACAACCTAGAGAAAAGGAGTTAACTAGAAATGAAATTACAGTACCATACCAAATGTTGAGAAAATTAAAAATATGTCTGATAAAACCTATACATCAAATCAGACTTGTTACCAGTTTCAGGAAAGTTTTCCTATACATGTTTATATTTGTGAGCCACAATAAAGGAAAATTTAATGTACATATAGCAATGTCTCCGCTACATAAATTTAAGTACCTGCTTCTTTTCCGCTTTTTGGGCCTGGACTCCTTCTCCCTCCGTTTCTCCTTTTTCTTAGACTGGCCATCATCTGAATCTTCAATTGTCACAACATCACATTCTGGCTTTTCAACTACTGCTGGTGCTTGCTTTGGCTCCTCCTCTTCCTCTACATCACTCATATAAGCTCCTAAGCAAGCCTGTAGTGCTGCCTATTAAAAAAACAAAAAAAAAAAAAACAAAAAAATGCTGGAATTAGACTCAGTGAAATCATAATTTTACAGTTGATAAAAATTCAATGCTGTAGTAGTTTAGAAAATTGTCTTGTTCTTCCTGAACAACTGAACAATAACAGAAACAACCCCAGTTCACTACTATCAAATGTGCTAAAAGGTGCGTATCAGAGAATTAAGAAATAAGACGTGTGGCCAGGAGAGGGAAAGAACAAGAATATATTTCCTATTTCACTATTTTCACACACAATCTCATAGATTTTTACAGTTAATTTACTCTGATTAAATAGCAGCTGCAGTACCAGCACTATCCTTTTCTCTTGTCTTGCACTGTCTATCATAATATATCTTTGCACTCAATGCATGAACGGACTGACACACTGGAGAGTAAAAAGAATACATAAATGCATATATATTAAAACATATAACAGCAGTTCATTTAAGAATATAGATTTTCTCCCACTAAAATACCTATCCCAAACCCATTTTCTTGATTCTTTCAATGACAAGTGAAACTGATATAATAATTAACTGACCCTATTCCATGTTGCTAAAGAGAACCAGAAAATCAAATAATTAATATCAAGGTTGGCAAGATAATTATATATATGTAATAGAGCATTCAATCAAAGCTTTCCACTTACTTTAAAGGTGAAATGAACTCTCACAGTAACAATAAAATGAAGAGATTTTACCTTCTGCTTCATAAGTTCTTCCAAGTTTAGGTCTTCATCAATGTGAAGGAAATCTGAAGAATCCAGGTTATACTCCTCGGCTTTTCTTGACGCTTCCCTCGAGTTATCTTCACTTGCCTCCACTACTTCTTCTTCACTACTTGAAACAGTTACTGGCTACAAGATCAAAAGAAAGGAGAATAATATGCATTTTATAAAATAGAGAATTCTTAACACTCACATACCATCCTAAAAAAATATATAAATACACAAAAATATGCTGCTTTTCAAGAAAAATACTAACTTCCTCTTTACTGCCATTGTGATTATTGACCACAATCTTCATAGATTCTACAATGCCGTTCCCAGCTGGGGCTCTCAGGATTTCTACATCTCTTCCTCTTTCTCGAGCCTGAGTTCCAGGGTTATTAACGGCTTCCAAGCCAGACTCTAGAAGTTCATCCACTAGTTGTATATCACTTCCATCTTCAGACGCAGAACTCTCACTATCTGAGTCCTTGTGTCTGTGTTTGGAACGATGCTTTTTGTGCTTCCTGCAAAAATCAATGATTCTGACTTAATATGTTGGCTATCAGGGACCTATGATGTGTTGTCTACAGAGTAAAAAAAAAAAGTATAAAAGCTGAATTTACAAGATACATGCTTAATACAAACCCAGTACAACAGATATTTTGGGTACCTGATCATTACAAGGATGGACTATATTTCTTCATGATAAAATATACTTAAAATTGCAACAAGGAGGAGGTAGGGTAGGCCATGCAATAATGTAATTCAAGATATGTGGGTACTTCATGAACAATCTCTCCTGAACTCATCTATGTCACTACAGTAGCTTCTCTCTAAACATTGGAAGCTGACTTCACTTACCTCCATCATTCCCACTACAACTGATTGAACTATCAAACTATCAAATAAATATGGACTAAAGACCATATTAAAAAATACGTTCATGACTCTTTAACTCACCTTTCTTTTCTGGATGAAGACTTGTGCCTATGTTTATGCTTGTGAGAATGTCTCTTATGCTTCTTCCTGTGCTTGTGTTTTCGCTCTTTTGATCTTGATCTAGCTGGTTCCTGACCTCCTGACTTCACCTCCTCTTCAGACATGCTTGACAGACTTGGATCATCAGAACTGCAGAAGAAAGTCAATAAATATGTACATTAGAACTAAGAATGTAAATCAAGTAAATATCATGAGATGATAAAGTACACACATACACTATACAAATAGAAAGCATCCTCCATTCAAAGCAATAAATAAAATCTCTATTTCTTTAGTCCTAAGCTAAAACCTTGAGATTATGAGGGCATTACTTAAAATTTTTAAGTTCACGTCTTCATTCACATATAAAGTAATTTAACATAACCTAAAAAATCACCTGACGGTTCCCTTAACCTAGTGCCGACGGGTAAAAATGTTTAGTAAGTGGACGTAATAACAGGATTGCTGGCGCATGTCGGCAGTTTCCCGTTTGCGCCTGGTTTGATTAGTAGTTTGTGAGCAACATTTGGCACCTAAAAGCTTTTATTTTGCTATAATTTGTAAAAATATTATAATTTTGAAGGTTTACCTTATAGGTGCAATTGCCTACAATCTTTACCATATAAATGAAGCCACTACTATCAGAGAAAAACAAACTCTGTCCAATGAGCCACTAGTGCTGGAATGAGCATGATATGATGCCATCTGTTTTTTGGTCCACGGGAATGGGCATGATATGATGCCATCCGTTTTTTGGTCCACAACAACCATGGCATATACGTACATGCCACCCTTCGGCAACGGGTTAATCTACTTTTATGCTCAAAGAGACTAACTGCTTAATGAAGTAAATGAAACAACATTGTGATTCAGTAAGAACAAAATCTTCTATATGACATTACTACTTTCTGGGCTTATTCCTGGGCTTATTCAAATTAAAAGTGCACCAGAAATCCTTTCTACCAGATAGGAGAGTGGGTACCTAACAAAGGTATATAAAATCAAACAATGTAATTCTTTGAAGTTAGACAAGGGTGCAACAATTTTTTTTGGGAAATGGTTTACATATATTCTCAAGCAATTCTATAAAACAATCATATGTCTACAGGAAATAAAGTTGTTTCCATGAATATTTGTAACCCTTTTAAATCATTTTGAGGCTCTTAAGGCTCCAAACCATTTGCTAGTGTTTTACCACCCAACCTCCCTTGTGTTCAGAAAAAGGAAGCAAAATCCAAACCAAAGATAACCTTCACATGACTTTTCCATGACTTTTGAAAGAGATTTTGGCATTTATTCATAACTCTTTTTTCACTGTTTTCCTTGAATATTTGATGCATATTCATGATACACATATCCCATTAAAACATGTACAATGAATATAATTCAAATTTGATACGTTTTATTCACACATGGATCATCATGTATCCATTTAGGCTAAGTAATTTTTCAAATTTTCATTCAGCTACCAAAGTTTATTTTGATTTCTTTCTGAAGACATTCTCAGAATATAAATTGGAAAATAAAAAAATTAAGACAGGCTTTCAAAATTTAAAAAGACACAAACGCTAAATTTCAATGATTTTCCAGAATTTAAAACAAATGATTTTCCATGATTTTCCAAGACCTGTACAAACTCTGTATAATCTAGTTCAGCTCTTGCTACGATTTCCTTGAGAGCAATGAGGATATAAACCAAATTCTTAAAACATCTGAATCTCTTGAAGCATGCTTAGAAAGTCAGGAATCTATAATTACGTATATTTATGAGTAGCTATATATAGATATACATACAAAATCCTATTTTCTCGAGGGGTATATAAATATTATCAACTGTATTTGCTTTCCATATATCCACAGTGGTTGTTGTGAGGATTGAACTTAGACTGGTTCTTTGACTACAGAATTCTATGCTGTTTATCAATACAGTGGCATACAATGAATCATTTGAATAATTGAGATAAATACCCTTTAATAAATACTGTTCTTTGCATCTCTAAATGTATATGTACAACATTGAGATTATATTCTTAAAAAGGACAAAAAGTTGCAGCTGTTGCTACAAGAAATAATCTGCAGACACAAATGGTAATGCTACAAATCAAAGAGGTAAATCTTTACAGTTTGCCAGAGACTAAGTCCCCAACTCAATGTCATAAAATCTTTTCAAGAATCTAAGTTACCACAACTGGGTGTGCCCAACTGGCACTGCCTGAGAGGAGGATTGTTGGAGGGCTCTGGCCTCAAATCCTCTCTAGTAAACCCTGGTTGTCTTCACATAGGAATGCATGGTAAGATAGAAGTGAAACTTGAGAGCACTGAGTGGACTTCGTGGTAAAGGTTTACAAAAAGACTGCGCCCTTCAGAGACTAGGTCCCTGGCCCCAGCCAACAATCTTGGGGATCCCATGGGGAATCGTTTTTTACTGAGGGGGGGGGGGGCAGATTGTGCTCATAGCTGGTATTTTAAAAAGCAAAGGAAAATGGAAAATTTTAAAAACGAGCCAAGAATCATATTTCATATCATCAAAAAGGTGGGGTTAATCTTTACAGTATGGATACACTAAGCTCGAGCAAACTGAAGATATTCCAAAAGTGGACAAAGAGTTTAAAAGTCAGAACAAGATAAAAATCTGCAGACACAAGTAGTAATGCCACAAACGAAGGAAAGACCTCACAGAAAGCACTGCTCTCACCATAAGTCCACTCACTGCTCCTGGGGTTCAGCTATATCTTGTCATGCATATCAAAATGAAACAAAGTTTCCTGATGGGTGTTGGGGGGACAGCCCCCCATCTAACCTCCCTTTGGGCAGTGCTCAAAATCCACCCCCAGTAAGGGTAATTTAGAGTGTTGAATTAAAGTCTGTAACATGGCATTCAGGACTTGGTCTCTAGCGAGCGCGTTCATAATGTAAAAAATTAATGAAAGTGGAAAATAGAAGAATCCGAGACAAGACCCTACGTTTAGCCATGGCCAATTTGACATGGCATTGAGCAAATGAAACCCCTCATGAACACACAATCTACCAGAAAGATCACTTAGCACAAGCACGCACTATGCAAAGTTACCATATATGGTAGTTATGCAATATACTTGGAAAGCATCTAACACAACACTGATCTACTGATTTTAAAAACGGTTTACTGTTGGCAAGGCTATCAAACACACAAAAAATACCTACTTATCTTGTAAAGAAACAGCAGTATTTGTTACAGAGTAATGCACCCTCCTGACACAAAGTCCCAAAACCACGGTCTCGTGTGAGCCCCAAAAACGCCAACCTAACCTTTCAGAGCTTCTATTTATTCCCTAGACAGGGGGCAAGCCCCTAGTACCCCCCCTGGCAACACAGTGCTAACTTATAGAAAACAGACATTAAGAACTCTGGCTCTGAGCAATGATATGGACTGGATATCGTCGATTCATAGTAAATATAAGGCCACATCATATATGCCTGCGTTGTTTTTCACTACTTCTTATGCTTTATAAGATGGCAGTGTTCATTTCCCTCTATGTTTGTCGTACTCTGTAACATTAACCGAAACAGCCTTGCAAATAATAGACTTTCCCGATAGGAAAGCCTTAATCAATTTGAAAAACACTAAATATGCATATATTATGTGAAGAAGAGTCACTTTCTTCCATTTGCAATAACAACAACATAACTGAATCATGGAAGAACACTTCCCTAGCTTCGCTATATTGCTAGCAAGATACAAGTAGTCTGTTTCACTGGCATTAGTTTAAAATTTAAGCCAACCTGAATTTCAATATTTTTAAACCAATAACGTAATATTGCTAGAAAATAAGACACAAACTGCATTTACTGTCACGTGTACCATCTGATTCACATACAGATAGTGCAAAATTCACGGTCAAATATGGCCAAAAAACGTATTTCACATTATATAAGAATTCAAACGATTTATGACAAATTAACGATTCGGACACTTAATTTTCCGATTGCTGGTCACTTCCAAGACCAAATTCTCAGATCTAACAAAGCCTAACTTCTCTTCGTTATATGGAAATAAAGGGAGAAGAAAATGTAAAAGGAAGACAGAGAAATATAACAAATTTTTCCTTTTCTAGGATTTACAAGTGACTTCATCCCCCATTCCCGAAGACCGCACCATAACACTGTTATTTCCCCGAAAATGCTTTAATAAACCATTT